ATTCCACTGTATAAAACATGTCTCTATTTTCTCAAGAGTCCACCAACAAAAGTGAAAAACTCATACATTATCCGTGAAACACATGGAGTTCCAGTGCCAAAGTGACTTTAATCTTTCTATAATCAGAATTTTCATGTTAATTCACACCACTGTGCTCCTTAATCCCAAGAATGCACTCATTAAATATATAAGGCTACCCTGTATAGGATAAGCCCGCATGCACTTTATTTCGTATCGCTCAAACTGTGCCTTTCCTCTGCTTCTCATATGGTTTTAGATTAAACAAGCACCTTCAGTCCGCCTCTTTTTGTTTACGATTTTACACTCAAACAGAAGAAATAGATGCTTCCCATTGTGTAGTATTTTCCACAAACTTTATTAAAAGGGTTAAAAAAAAGCACTTACAAACAGCCACGTTCTCTCACACATCTCCTTAAGCTCCACAAAACATCAGAAAACAATCGTATGATACACGGATGCTACTGTTTTGTGGAGCTGCAGGAGATCAGTCACTTTGACACTGCAACTCTATGGGGGAAATTTATCAAAACTGTAGCAGACAGAATCTGGAGCAGTTGGCCGTAGCAACCCATCAGCATCTGCTCCAGTTTTGATAAATCCCCCACTGTGTTTCACGGATAAGGCATGAGGTTTTCACTTTGGTTGGTGGACTCTTGAGAAAATAGGGACATGTTTTATACAGTGGAGGACTATACATTTGTGATATTTAATTATATATTGATGTTGGTTTCACTATAGTTAAGTTGTACTCTCACATTTATTATTTTTAGTCCTAGTTTTAGTCAAAGCCGCTAAAGTATCTGTTTTTAGTGTCTGTTTATGACACAGTTCAAGGGTCCGTAAGCGGGCGTACTGCTATTCTCAAAACTGCCCAACCAGCCAGTGATAAGACACGTAGGACATATCTATACCCCTATGACGTTGTGCCGCTGGAACTGAGACACCACCCCACCATAGGGGAGGGTCAGGAGATAAGCGGGTGATATCCCAGGACCAAATCCTAATTCCACCTATATCTGTAAGCAGTTCCTGTGTACAGGCCATATGAATGCAAGTTCTGAGGACAACGTGTCACCCTGTAAACAAAAAGATATTAGTGCGAACAGGTCTTAATTGCGTGGGGAGGGCAAGTCCTCTGTGGTCAAGGTTATCAGGGTCTTAACTTGAGGGTACAGAGTCTCGAGATTCGTGTCGGCTGTCTTCACTGAAAGTCTACAGGAGAGAGACAAGGTCAGGACCAAGGGTCAGTTAGAGACCGTGTAGATCCGGCAGTCTGCTCATCAGGGGATATGTGTCAGGCCTCCGGATCCATGGAGTGGGCTCTCCGTGACGGTCGTGTTGCAGATCGCTGACGACTTCTGCGACGTCTCAAGGGCCTCCCAGGTCTGGCGGATGAGGATGAAGTAGAATCCACGGAAGGAACCTCCAATCAATCCGGCAGCAGTAGGTCTTCGCATTCCAGAAAGACGTTCAATTCCGGCACCTGGCGAGGGTGAACCAGCTCTTTGATGTTAAAAAAGTGTACTCTGCACAAAACGTCTCTGGGTAGGTTGGTATCAGCCCCCATAGGACCCAAGGACCTGTGTACTCGGTCTAGCTCAATCTGCTCCGTCGGGGGTCTGTCTAGTAAGGAATTAAATATGGCCGTGACCGCCCCTCTCAACTCCGGCCCCCCTGTGGCCTCTGGGATTCCCCGCAACCGCAAGTTGTTGCGGCGGTTACGGTTTTCTGAGTCCTCTAGCCGCAGCTGCATCTGGGCCATATGGGTCTGTTGGTGTAGAACGGAGGCCTCCAGGCATGCCACCTTGTTCTCCAGGGTCTTATCTGCATCCTCCAGCACCTCCAGTCTCCTCTCATTCCGCTCCACCCCCGCACGTACCTCCGCCAGGTCTGATCCGAGTGATAACGCCAGCTGATCGATCATCCCCTGCATGTCGGCCCGCGTCGGGAGAGCTGCTAGGAGACACCGGAGCTCTGGGTCTACTCCTAGGCCCGGGCGGCCTAGCGGGGAGACGGGCGCCCACGTCCGCGGTGAGGGGACACCCGATCCCGTGCCAGGTGAGGAGAAGGTCGGGGATGGCGGCTGGAGTGGAAGCATTGCCTCGTCTGAGATGCCGGAGGCGTCATGAGGAGAGGTTCGGGTATGTCCCGTCGGGGTGGAGTGTGCGTGTGTCCCGGGCTGCGCACGCGGCTTAGGCCTCGAGTCCTGGGGGGACACATAAGCTTCCATCCTGGACTGCTTTTTTTGGCTCATGGGGGCACAGGGTGTCTTCAGTGCCTTCCCGGTCCGCTTCATGGGTTAGTGGGGTGGGAGGGAGGAAGATCCACTGAAAAAATATCTCCCGGGTCTGCAGAGCTCTGGCAATTAGCTGCTGCTCGGCGCCATGTCCAGGCCACGCCCCCTCACATTAGAAATATTTGTTTTGTGATATATAAATTAAGCTATGGTTATATATGAAATATACACTAATCTGAGAATTGACTTGGAGTGGAGGGCAGGTGTAATACAAATAGTAAAGTGATCTTGGTTGCATAACTTAATATAACTGTTACCCAAATTACTTTACATTAGTTTAAGTTATGATCCGCTATATAAGCGTTCACACTTACAAGTATATGGTTCTGAGATTTTTTTAGCTCAACATACTATACATTTATTGGTATGTAGTTTTAAGACTTAAATACTGTGAACCAACAATCTAAGTACAAAACACAAATAAAAGATTTAAGCATGCAAAATACACAGACATTGATAGATATGAGACAAACAATAGAAATACATTCTCCCTTTGCTGATCAGGATGCACTGGGAGCCATCGATTGGTGGCCTGCCAATGCTTAATTTAATCAGATTAGAATTCTTCTATGGAGATTGGATATTTCTTAATACCCTTTTTGGAACCTCCAAACCCTTTCTATGCAAATTGTTAATTGCATTAAGGTATTCAGCTTCTATGGCGGAAAAATTCCATGTGCTCAGGTGTCCAGAGGCTAACCCCAGGTCATGATTTTATCTAAACCAGGGAGGACAATCTAGTATTTTACTACCTGCAAGTATCCTTTGAAGCCCATGGCCAGAGACAAAAGAGCATATGCAACTATTGTGAAGAAAAGGGGTCTTGGCTCCAAAGTGTTCATGGATCTTATTGTCTTGACCTTTCACCATTAACAGGCTACGCTTCCCATGTAAACAATTCCTCAGGGCAGTAAAAACTATTTTTTCCTTACTCCATTCCATCACCCAGCATAGAATATGTTTCATTATAAAAAATATATACATATGTTCATGGATATTTGATATAAACCTCATAAAGTAGCAATAACATATACACTTCTGGAAGCAGAAGTGGAGAAATAAATACAACGGTACAGGCCAGATTAAAGCCAACACCATGCCGTGCAGTGCAGGTGTAATATAATTTGTTTTGATTCTGTTAGCATTGCAGCTTATGGTTAGGAACACAAGGGGAAATTTAAGCACAGTTAAAAGGATAAATTAAGATCACTTTACTGACAGTGCTGCCAGGGAGGCACATATTATGTGCCTTCAGTTCATGCAATGAGAGGTCTGCAGTCCTTCAGAGGTTAGGCAGTAAGGTATGTAGCTCAATACTCCAGGAAAGTCTATAGTTCACAACAGAGTCACTGAAATAGAAGCTCATCTTGCCTTTTTTTTTCATGCAAACAAACAGTAGGTCCTGCAACCTGTTAGAACCTTACTTAAGCCCAACTTTAGGCTAAGTTGTGATGTTTGAAGATGATGCTGCAGCTTTAGAGATCAGTGAGGGTTTGTTTCAAAACTCTTTACTTAACAATATGTAATCTATGTACATGGTATGGGCACAGGTGCACTTTAAAAATATATAAACGTTGATGACATATTTTGGACAGGTGGGGACAGCTTGGTGTTTATGGCCTTGTCACCTGCTATTATGCTGTTTAAAGGGATTTTCCATTTATACAATGGTAACAGTAGTAAAAACAAAAAAGGATTCCCCTTCTACCCCAATTCTGATGATATGATTTGTAGATATCATGATTAGGTCTGTATGTCCCTATACACTGAGTGGACAGATTATTATGACAACCTGACGCTTGTAGGCAAATTAGCTATAATTTAGCGCTGACGTTGGTAGAGGGCCTGACCATTATAAATAGGGAAGCAGGTTGTTTACCACGCCAGTAGAAGTGATTTTTTTCTGAAGATATGGGTAAACAACGCGATTTAACAGCCTTTGAACGTGGGATGATTGTTGGCGCTCGGAGCCATGGAGCGAGTATCCGCAAAACAGCAGAATCCGTTAAATGTTCAAGAGGGGCTCATTGTTAAAGTGTTTAAAGACTGGACTGTCAGCCGAAAATCTGGGTCTGAGCGTGCGAATTGTGGCCGTCAGCGACTAGTCAATGTTAGGGCAGAACGGAGAGTGGCAAGACTGGTACAAGACAACAGAAGGGCAAGAGTGCAGTGTCAGATTCCTCGCATCACCTTTCAACATCTCGTGGAGTCACGAGGCGGCCCAACGAAGTCATCTTGTGGAGTCATCTCGTGGCCCAACGAAGTACTGATGGGGTGGTCATAATAATCTGGTCACTCAGTGTATGTTTCACCAACACTAGATTAAATTTGGAATGGTGTCCAGATTTTGTAAAATCGTGTCAGTACTAATGAGGAATGAATAGAGTGAAGGTGTACCGATACATAGTGCATAGTAACCGGAGAAGTTTGTTTTTGTTTTCCCCCTTATGTGATTTCAGTAACTCTGAAATATGATTGGCAGCTATGGATTACTGTACCTTGTATTACATTATCTTAATGCTGCATTATTAATTTGTACAAATCAGTGGCACGTCAAAATGTTCATCAAAATTAAGGTTGAAGGAAGCCAATGCATTGACTTTGTTTGCTTTTATTTGTACCAGTTATATATTTTTTTTACTTATGCGCTCAGTTAGTAACTGTAGACTTTTTTCTCTTTCAGGAAATGGCAAAGATTTTAAACCATCCTCGTGTGTACGCGTTTCTGCACATCCCCATACAATCGGCTTCAGACAGTGTGCTTATGGATATGAAGAGAGAATACTGCATAGCAGACTTCAAAAGAGTTGTGGATTTCTTAAAGGAGAGGTATGTGTACTTGTGTGCAGAGCGAAATTAGCAGTGCTTTCTTCTTCAACATCTGAAAGGTAGCATATTCCTATCACTGTAGAGGTGAAAAAGCATCATCAAAGTTCCTAAATTCTTGGGAATAAAGCATTCATGTGGTTTTCATATTCTTCAGAACAACTTTCATCCCTGGGAGGCATACATTTTACTAGTTTACATTTTTTTTTCATTTTTATTCTTCTTGTTCACATAACGCAAGATAAGAGAGTTTGAATAAAGATATGTGCAAGTAGACTCTATCCTGATCATGTGTTCTTGTAGAAATAAAAAGCTTTGCTGAAGAGCCCTGGAAGAATAAGAGTTTAATAGAGCGGTGACAGTTTTGTGCAGTGTTCCTAGGAGAAGGATTGTCCCCAGAGCTGGAGAGGTGACAGACATGGCAATGTAATAAATACGTCACTTTATGAACTGTCATATCTCAGCTCTATCTGAGTCTACAAGACTGATGTGTCAGCATGCTGAGGTCTGCAGTGCTAGTGTGTGTATCTCTGAGGGCAAAATGTGGTAATGCAATTACTGTGTGACGTTATCTAAGCTATGTTTAAATACATTTAGATTGTTGCAAATGTCATTGTGGCTATATTACTATAGCTTCACATTAGCCAGATGTTTTCCTTGTGTTAAATATCATAAGTCAGTTATTTAATAGGACATTAAACATTGTTCTTCCTTTGTCATTTTGGAATCCACAAGTGCACATCTTGTACAGTGTCAGACTTCAGTCTGCAGGATTTTTTATTTATTTACACCATTCTTACTTTAAAACATCAGGAATACAATTAAACTTTTTTTGTGTTTTAGTCATAGAGTTGAAGAACGTCTAGTAAAATGTGGTTCATTCTGTTTATTAATTCTAGACTCTCATCTTTCCTTCAATAATAAATAACGCTCTGGGTTTCCTCAATACCATAACTGAAGGACAAGACATCATAATTTGCTAATGCCAGATATGTCATTCCTATTCCTGTCAGTTCTAATTGTTCTGCTTTTCTATTCATTGTAAGAAAATCACAGATTAGACACAAGATTCTACCCTGACAGAAACCAGTCCTTAACGCAGATGGGTTTTAACTTAAATTTTAGACACCAGCTCTTACTACACTTGTTGGGGCACCAGTAATAATATTGTCTATTCATTGCTAGACTTCTGTAAATATTCAACTGTGTGATACAACAATATTTCTTTCTCAGTCATGAGGGGACACATGATTCAGTTCACCAGCTGTAGTGTTGCACACTACACACTCAGTTCCCCCCTTTTCAGCTTGAGGTAGTTCTTTTTGGCATTATTCCTATTTGCAAGTGACACATGTTTTTCATGTCCTTCTGCCACCTACAGTGGCGTAGTCACCTCTGGCCATTAAACCTTTCCCACTGCCAGCAGCTGGTTTGTGAATAGCCAAGGTTTCTTGGCGCCTTGAATGGAGTTGTCTGAGTGTAGTGATAAATCAGATCCCTAGGGCAGTTTCATTGCATCTCTCTCCAGCTCACAACCTGCTAACATTTCCAGGGTTGCCTGCACTGTCCCTCCTCAGGAACCTAGGTAAAGAGACGTCACTAGCACTCCAACATAAATACAAGTCAATATTTATTGACTACAAAGTGTCACATAATCACAGGCGACGTTTTGGAACCGCATGGTTCCTTCCTCAGACAAAACTCTCTGTGGAAAGAATCCTAACCTTTCTGAAATCATGTTTGTAGCAAACCGTGTAGTACCTCTGGCCAGGTTCGGAAAAACAAATGGATCAAAGATCCATTTCGCCCAACCTGATTGTGCCGGATTGAGAGTAATATGATGTAAACGAACACATGTCTGTTTACATCCGATTCCCCATAGACTGACATGTGGTTCGGCAGTTACAGTTCTTTCCTCCATCGCAAGATGGAGAACATAACTGTACGGACATGGATGTCACAGCAGTGACACCCGCCATGCACTGCTCTGATCAGGAGCGGATCTATGCACAGATCCCCTCCTGAACAGCCTGTGTGAAAGCAGTTTTAGGCTACCCAGATTTTTTACTGTTATGTTATGTGGGGCTGTTACTGTTGCCCACCCCTCAATTGGGCTGCTTTTGTAAGTCCTAATTGTCCCTGAGTAAATTAATCCTGTATGCATTAATAAATGAATGCCAGTCTACAGTGCATCCTGTAGGCATTTGTTTAATTCATCTGCCTAAATAAATGGATCTCATGTCCCCTTAATTAGTTGTTGGGTTTGTTTTTTGTTTTTGTTTTTTGGGGGGTGGGGGGGTGCAATTTGTTTTAATTAAAGAAGGGGGGATGCAGATAAGCTATAATACACCCCAGTTCTTTGCAACTGCCCCCTCCTACCACCAAGACTCTTATGTATGCTTCTGCAGCAAGGTGTGATTCAGTCCTTTTGCTGCATGTTCCATTATATGAAACAAGGACATTCCGACAGTTGGTCATACTCCAGTTTACTAGCCACAACACTTAGGAGGTGCTGGGAACTCTGGTTCACATTACCTGAGGGATATAGCATATCACTGGTTGACCTAGTGTCAACCCAAAATTCATTTTTGTTTTTGGTTAACTAAACCTTCCAAATGTAACATAAATGCCATTTAAAATTAAAGCAGCACATACAATTACTTTCTGCCTTTGCTTAGACTTCCACGTTTATTCCGCTCTCATAGAACCTTGTGGTTGCTTACTCTAACCTTGTATGCCACTTTGAATTGTGAGAGAACAGTGCAGAATGTTTGTCTGCTCTCCTGTCATCAGTGAATTCTGTCATCTGAATACGCTCTTTCCTCAGCTATACTATACTTGTTCTTCATCGAGGCCAACTACATCATTCAGGGTAAATACACTTTCCATGCCTAGGACACATGCCAAATGTTTTGCAGTCAAGAACTGAAGATAAGAATACAAATCAGTACATCTTTACCCATTAATGACAGATTGTTTAGTTATTCCCTTTGAATTCCTAAAAGCCAAAGTGAGAACATGGTAAAATGTCAAAAAAAGATGAACCTTTACTGCTCTGACAAGGGTGCAGCTAACTCTTGCACTGCATTTGTATTAAATGGAACCTGTCCGGACAGCTTTTTACTGTCAGATTTTCTTAAAGTTTTTTTTTTTTTTTTTTAAAGTCTGAAGGCTGTCATTGCCCAATCAAGGGTATGGATCAAGTGTTCATGTAGGGCACACATTGCAACATCAGGCACACTTTTGTATCTGCCATGAAACTAACATCTCATCGGGAAGTTGGGCAGTGCTTCAAGCAGTACAATAGAGTTCAGGCTTTGCTTGTTAAGGTTACCATAAACAATTGCATCTATAATGCATTCTTTGATTAGCATGCCACCCCCCATTTAACATAGTTTTATTACTTGTTGATCCATTTTATTCCACTTCTTCTAAAAGGCCAAGTCGTCCAACAAAAGTGCCAATTTTAAGCTCACCACACACCCTACAATCTGATTGTACAATCTTCTTTAGATCTACCTACAACTATGTAGTGCAAGGTCCTGCCTTGTCACAGTTCAGCTGCAGACTTGCAGCTAAGCTGTTACTTGTAGTTCTACAAGGATATACATACCTCTTACCCCTGGTTCTGCAGACATGTAGGGCTGTGCTGGTGTTTGTAGTCCTCCAGACATGCGCTCTAAACCTGACTCACACTTGCACCTGTCTGCACGCTTTAGGCGTCGGCCGACATCTCCTGCTGTTTCTTATGCAGCTTCTCTGCCAATCAGTGCAGTCTGCGTGTAGCCAATCCTGTAGATCCTCTCTCTTCCTGTCTCTATTTAAACTCAGGGCAGCGAACGGCTCGCGGCCTGAGCAACGCTTTCCTAAGCTAGTTGCCAAGTCCCCCATTTGTGATTTACCCTGAATTCCTGGAAGTTTTCCTGTGTACCGAACATTTGGCTTGTCCTTGGAAATCCCTGTCTACTGGCTGTCCTGTGCTTCCCTTTTGTCTTTGGAAATCCCTGTCTACTGGCTGTCCTGTGCTTCCCTTGTGTCCTTGGAAATCCCTGTCTACTGGCTGTCCTGTGCTTCCCTTTTGTCCTTGGAAATCCCTGTCTACTGGCTGTCCTGTGCTTCCCTTTTGTCCTTGGAAATCCCTGTCTACCGGCTGTCCTGTGCTTCCCTTTTGTCCTTGGAAATCACTGTCTACCGGCTGCCCTGTGCTTCCCTTTTGTCCTTGGAAATCCATGTCTACTGGCTGCCCTCTGCTTCCCTTTTGCCCTTGGAAATCCCTGTCTACCGGCTGGCCTGTGCTTCCTTTTTGTCCTTGGAAATCCCTGTCTACCGGCTGCCCTGTGCTTCCCTTTTGTCGTTGGAAATCCCTGTCTGCCGGCTGCCCTCTGCTTCCCTTTTGTCCTTGGAAATCCCTGTTTACCGGCTGCCCTGTGCTTCCTTTTTGTCCTTGGAAATCCCTGTCTACCGGCTGCCCTGTGCTTCCCTTTTGTCCTTGGAAATCCCTGTCTACAGGCTGCCCTCTGCTTCCCTTTTGTCCTTGGAAATTCTTGTCTAAAGTCTACGCTGTACTTCGCTTGGTCCCTGGAAGTCTTCAGCCTATCCCTAACCTTTGATTTGTACCCTGTACCTGTTAGGTGAGTTGGGTGGACCTAGGGATTGTGACTTGGGGTCAGCACGCAGCCAAACCCATCTCCACCATCATGAGCTCTGGCGAATACCGGCTGCCTCTTGGATTCCACATCCTGGGGAACCCCTGCCACCTACTCATCATTGCAGCACCCTGCCTTGTATTTGAACTTCCAGCTTTAGCTGACTTCTACTGCCTCATTCAGTTCCTCTGCTTGTACTCCAGCTCTGGGAGTCGTCAGCCTACACTGCTTGGACCCTTTTCTCTGAGGGTCCGTGCCAGTGTAGTGGAAAGGGTCCACATACCGGACTCCAGTTCATACCCGTGAGTCCCAATCCATGACATGCCTGAATGGATACAGATTAATTGGATAGATCAG